TATAGCTAGACATATGACTAGCTATATATCTTTTAAACACATCTCATTGAATATGACCACATATTCTGTATTTAATATATATATGACCACATATTTTGTATTTACTATCTTAGGATTTAGGGCTGTTATCCCTCTATTTTCTTAGCATCAGGGCTTAGCTGAAACAAGAGTTCTCAAACTCATTTTCGTAATTTCAAGGTTATCTTGAGATGATTTCGGGGCTTTTTAGTGTCCCCGCGGCCCGGTCCTAGACCAGGCCTCCACCCCCAGGAAGCAGCCCGTGACAGCTGACTAACACCCAGGTACCTATTTACTGCTAGGTAACAGGGGCATTCAGGGTGAAAGAAACTTTGCCCATTTGTTTCTGCCTCGTGCGGGAATCGAACCCGCGCCACAGAATTAAGAGTCCTGCGCGCTATCCACCAGGCTACGAGGAGGTGAAGAAAAGAAGTGAATACTATAGAATGTATTACACTTATTTATACAACTTGCACAATGTTTCGAACCTCCATGGTTCATTCTCAAGTGAAAAGAATTTTCAGAACTGGTTGATTTATACCCGCACTGGGTCAGGTGATACAACAATAAAGGTGAAAACATGGGGGGTACATAAGAGATAAATGGGGGTGAAACATAAGAATAGAGGTAACTGCGGAAGGCCGCAGTTACGGCCTGCGTATATATCCAGCTATATAACTAGCTATATATCCAGCTATATAACTAGTTATATATCCAGCTATATAACTAGCTATATATCCAGTTATATAACTAGCTATATATTCAGCTATATAACTAGTTATATATCCAGCTATATAACTAGCTATATATCCAGTTATATAACTAGCTATATATTCAGCTATATAACCAGCTATATAGCCGGCCGTACGGCTAGATATATAGCCAGCAAGCCGGCCGTACGGCTAGATATATAGCCAGCAAGCCGGCCGTACGGCTAGATATATAGCCAGCAAGCCGGCCGTACGGCTAGATATATAGCCAGCAAGCCGGCCGTACGGCTAGATATATAGCCAGCAAGCCGGCCGTACGGCTAGATATATAGCCAGCAAGCCGGCCGTACGGCTAGATATATAGCCAGCAAGCCGGCCGTACGGCTAGATATATAGCCAGCAAGCCGGCCGTACGGCTAGATATATAGCCAGCAAGCCGGCCGTACGGCTAGATATATAGCCAGCAAGCCGGCCGTACGGCTAGATATATAGCCAGCAAGCCGGCCGTACGGCTAGATATATAGCCAGCAAGCCGGCCGTACGGCTAGATATATAGCCAGCAAGCCGGCCGTACGGCTAGATATATAGCCAGCAAGCCGGCCGTACGGCTAGATATATAGCCAGCAAGCCGGCCGTACGGCTAGATATATAGCCAGCAAGCCGGCCGTACGGCTAGATATATAGCCAGCAAGCCGGCCGTACGGCTAGATATATAGCCAGCAAGCCGGCCGTACGGCTAGATATATAGCCAGCAAGCCGGCCGTACGGCTAGATATATAGCCAGCAAGCCGGCCGTACGGCTAGATATATAGCCAGCAAGCCGGCCGTACGGCTAGATATATAGCCAGCAAGCCGGCCGTACGGCTAGATATATAGCCAGCAAGCCGGCCGTACGGCTAGATATATAGCCAGCAAGCCGGCCGTACGGCTAGATATATAGCCAGCAAGCCGGCCGTACGGCTAGATATATAGCCAGCAAGCCGGCCGTACGGCTAGATATATAGCCAGCAAGCCGGCCGTACGGCTAGATATATAGCCAGCAAGCCGGCCGTACGGCTAGATATATAGCCAGCAAGCCGGCCGTACGGCTAGATATATAGCCAGCAAGCCGGCCGTACGGCTAGATATATAGCCAGCAAGCCGGCCGTACGGCTAGATATATAGCCAGCAAGCCGGCCGTACGGCTAGATATATAGCCAGCAAGCCGGCCGTACGGCTAGATATATAGCCAGCAAGCCGGCCGTACGGCTAGATATATAGCCAGCAAGCCGGCCGTACGGCTAGATATATAGCCAGCAAGCCGGCCGTACGGCTAGATATATAGCCAGCAAGCCGGCCGTACGGCTAGATATATAGCCAGCAAGCCGGCCGTACGGCTAGATATATAGCCAGCAAGCCGGCCGTACGGCTAGATATATAGCCAGCAAGCCGGCCGTACGGCTAGATATATAGCCAGCAAGCCGGCCGTACGGCTAGATATATAGCCAGCAAGCCGGCCGTACGGCTAGATATATAGCCAGCAAGCCGGCCGTACGGCTAGATATATAGCCAGCAAGCCGGCCGTACGGCTAGATATATAGCCAGCAAGCCGGCCGTACGGCTAGATATATAGCCAGCAAGCCGGCCGTACGGCTAGATATATAGCCAGCAAGCCGGCCGTACGGCTAGATATATAGCCAGCAAGCCGGCCGTACGGCTAGATATATAGCCAGCAAGCCGGCCGTACGGCTAGATATATAGCCAGCAAGCCGGCCGTACGGCTAGATATATAGCCAGCAAGCCGGCCGTACGGCTAGATATATAGCCAGCAAGCCGGCCGTACGGCTAGATATATAGCCAGCAAGCCGGCCGTACGGCTAGATATATAGCCAGCAAGCCGGCCGTACGGCTAGATATATAGCCAGCAAGCCGGCCGTACGGCTAGATATATAGCCAGCAAGCCGGCCGTACGGCTAGATATATAGCCAGCAAGCCGGCCGTACGGCTAGATATATAGCCAGCAAGCCGGCCGTACGGCTAGATATATAGCCAGCAAGCCGGCCGTACGGCTAGATATATAGCCAGCAAGCCGGCCGTACGGCTAGATATATAGCCGGCCATACGGCTAGATATATAGCCAGCAAGCCGGCCATACGGCTAGATATATAGCCAGCAAGATGGCCATACGGCTAGATATATAGCCAGCAAGCCAGCCATACAGTTAGATATATAGCCAGCCATACAGTTAGATATATAGCCAGCCATACAGCTAGATATATAGCTAGCCATACAGCTAGATATATAGCCAGCCATACAGCTAGATATATAGCCAGCCATACAGTTAGATATATAGCCAGCCATATAGCTAGATATATAGCCTGCTATATAGATAGCCGGCCATATAGCTAGATATATAGCCGCCATATAGCTAGATATACAGCCGCCATATGGCTAGATATAAAGCCGCCATATAGCTAGATATAAAGCCGGTAATCTTGGACATAGTATTTTTTATCCGTTGCATGTTTGCCTGGGGACCATTCAGGCTTGTTCGCATATATTTAAATATATGTATGTCTTTTATATCTACTAGTATTCTAACTATTTTCTCCTATGATTTAGATGGAATTATGTTTAGACACCAGTATGTATTTACCTAATGGTGCCAATGGGGAGCAAGATTAGTTTTTGGGCCCTGTCTTTTAACTATTAGTGCCTGGTGCAATCATTCCAATACTCTCATTGTGCACTAATTGTAAAAAAAAAAGTACTTGCTTTGTGCTAGTGATAAGTAAGTGGAATGAGCTGAAAGTAGAGGTGGTGTAAGCCACCACTATCGAATTGAAAAACAAGTGCAATTGATAACTAGAAGATATCTTGCAACATTCTAGTAATGAGGCAAAGCCCAAGACCTATATTGGATATCTCATAGCTGCAGTTAAGCAAGCACCCTACTTTCTTAATACTTTTTTTTTTTTTTTTTTTTAACATATTACCATAAAATGCCCATATCCTGCCGGTGATTTTTAATTACCGGTACTGTACTCTTATTTTCACTAAAATGCACTACAGTACAGTACTTACCTTTTCTCCAATGTCCTTGCCATACTCAATATCTAGCTCGTGGAGTGTTTCAATGTGGTCACTGGTGAAGGCAATGGGAACCAATATTATATTTTTCTTTCCTCTCTGCACCAAACCTGTGAAATATTAGTTATGGAAGTATTACATTGATAAATTACATCTGTAATTTATTAAAAAAATATAATATGCATATACAGTATTTCCACTGTCTCAGAATAGCCCATTGCATAACTATGGACAAATTTAAAATATATTTGAGTTCAAAATAAAGTTCCACGAATGTCTTTAAAGACTGGATATAAAAGGTGTCTAGAAAACATCTGGTGGGGGAACAATTTCAGTAGATAACTGTGAAGTGTTATATTCCCTGATTAACTAACTGTACTGAAAGGTGCCTGCAGTGTAAGTTATTTAAATGCATGGTACTTGAAGATGAGGTACACAACTTTTGTTTAAGCTCCTGAAAGCAGTAGCAATTAAGAGATAAAGACAAGCAACTCCACAGTAGGGGGTCCTATTGCCTGTTGCTCTATACTCTATACGAGGATGTTGTTTCCCGGACCATCGCATGCGATATACTGTACATACATCGTGTATTGATGGAGGACTCTGCTTTAAGACTGTGTTCTAAATAGAAATTGTAATCTGCTAGAAATAGCTTAAACACGCCTGCCTAATTTGACTAAAGAAAATCATTAGGAACATTTTCTAAGCCTGGACTATGCAACACTTGGAAGGGATATGATGTTTCAAGCTGAACAGAAATTAGAAATCACTTTCAAAAAGCTGTAAACTCTTTTGCAAGAGAAAACATTGCACTGTATCTTGCTACAATCTGACCTTGTAATAGCTCTCTACAATTGTGAACAGGTAATGCGTTACAGCTCATTTATAAGCTCTGTGGCAAGTGAAATCACACATTGTTACCCACCCCAGCCACAATATGATTGATAACTTGTGCAATAAAATTGTCTTTTTAAATTAATTAACTAGTATTTTCTGAATAAATTCTCTTTATCTGATATGACAAATTATACATTGAACTATTTATTGATTTAAACATTGGTTGCCTATAACAAGAGATAAAGATTTGATTTAGAGAAAGCAGAATAAAAATGAGATGGCATTAACTTCAATAATATAATTTCAGTTGACTAACAATCTATAGAATTCAAAAGGTCATTACTTTTACATCATGTAACAGTACAGTATTACACCTACCCTTAATTGCATCATCAGTTGCTGGTGATAGCCAGGGTAGTGGGCCTACTTTGCTCTGCCACACAAGACGATAGGGATGTGTAAATCCTAATTCTTGCATCACCAACTGTACTGTAGCTCCCACCTCGGCCGAGTAGGGATCTCCACGGTTATTTTGCTGTCAAGGAAAACTGGTTTTAGTCATGGCTAAGCTATATTACAGTACTGTGCTGTGATACAGAAGTTGATCTGCTGCATCTCCATTGATTTCCCCATCTTCCGTTAAAAATTTTTGTAAACAGCAAACAATGAAGCAGCATTCAAACAGTATTATAGAATCTGTTCACATACTGCATGGTAAAATAACTGATATCTGCCGAGCTATCAGAGGTCAAAGGAAAAATGAAAAGGTCAAATGCATAAAAAAAAAATCTTGCCACCTTGTACAATAATAATCTTAATGCTTCATAGGTCAAGAACTAGCCACTGAACAAGGGTACGGTTGATAACTGTCTGATTGGGTATAGGGTCTGTGTCTGGCAATGTAGATGTTAGGTTTATGTGAACCGAGTACAGTACAGCATTGAAAAGCAGGTGGGTATCACATTATTTATATAAAGTTTGTACCAGTTCAATTTCTTTATACATGTGCGATATGATTACCTGGCAATATACCGGCATTTGAGTGAGCAGGACAACCTGGCACACAAGTATTTATCCAAACACCTATACATTTCTGTTGATCAACATCAACAGACTAGATCCGTGTCATTTTATTGAAGATTTTGGTACACATCATCGATGTTTCCATGTCCGTATGAGTAATATGCAAGTACTGTAAAGTACAGTACCCATCTTTTACCTGCAATATGCATGAGCACTATTGTATAAACATACTAGCCTAGTCCATTCTTTCTGATAATTATTTATAATAAATCAGTAAGGTTGGTGGTAATGTGCAATTAAAATATAGTTACAGAATATGTACAAAAGGTCAGTTAGTCACCAAGTTCAAATCATCAATAATACTACAGTAACTAATACAGGAACAAATAGTACTACACAGGTATTAAAATTCCCTGCTATTCTACTCTACCGATTTTGCAAGTCCTACTTAAAACCCAGGCGTGTTTCACCTCAACTGAAAAAAAATTTCCTCGTTTAACACAAATTTGCAATTCCCATTAATCTAGCAATATAAATACAGCAGTTTCAAAAGTCACAACAAAAGTAACCTTTAAGTTACGAAACAAAAAATTCAAATTACCAACTTTTAGTGGCAAAGAATGAGCTGAGAAGAGAATAAAAACATCTTTTTGTTTTTCCTTGGGAAACTGGTCTAGCTCCTTCTTGATGTTTTTGGCAAAGCACTTGACAAGGAAGGGATTTGTGCACCATCTATCAATCACACTCCATTTCATGTTAGTCTCAGCAGACCTGCAAAATAAAACATGTACAAGTAACAGTAATAATGTGTTAATGAAATGCTGACATTTTTTATGCATTCATTTACTATTTTATGCTTATAAGTTGCATACTGTACTTCAAAGAACTTTTCATGATGAAAATCTATATTTGTGTCCATGACAAAGCAACTTCAGAAAAATGTAGTGATAGATGACAGGAAAGAAACTATACAGTAACTGTATCTCATCCCTCAACTCTCCCTCCCTCCCACCAAAAAAATAAAAAAGGACTACTAATTTATACCCAAGAACAGCTCCAATAAACAATACAACCCTCTCCAAAAATCAAACATGGTATAAAAATTGAATGTCCCAATGAAGGATATCACCTTCAATCTTCTTGCCAGAAATGCTGTGCATATTAGTGGCTTTAGGTATTGTATGTACTAGCTCTATCTATAAATCCAATATTATGTTTGTAACTCATCTTCTGTGTATGTACTTTTACCTGAATAAACATTTTGGTTTTGATTATACTGGAATGACCACAACAAAGGTTTCAAGAGGATTGATTTGCCATCTACAAACTAGTGCACCCAGAAATCATATGCAGAGTGAACATAACACAACACACTCTAGGAAATATGCTAGTAAATAATAATAAAATCATAGAATCTACCATTGGCCAAAGAAGATTGCAAATCTTAGAAGCCTTAACTGTAAAAGAACTAACCTTAAATATGCAAAATAACAGCTTCGATTCCCCGCCGGCACTCAAACCCAGATCTCGCCATATGTTGATGGATAATGACGGCATCTCTACCAAGGTCTTCCTGCCTACCAAGACTACCAGAGTTTTACTCAATGCTTTACCCAATGGCCCTATCCCCTTACAGCATATTCAATTCTTCGAACACTCTCTTCCGGGCTTCTCACATGTGTAACCAAAAATTGTACCTCGTGTATTCATTCATTACCTTAAGATGTTCCAGAGAGGAATGAAACATTGCAGCAAATAAATCCGTCAATAATTACTAGAGTTGCTTTACCATTAATTTTGGCAACTTGATTGCTCTTCTTAATACTGATACTAAGAAAATAGAAGTAGAGAGAGCTTACATTATAATATCAACAATGTCATCATATTTAACTAAGCATGTCAGCAGGAATGCCTGCTGACCAAATATTCATATTATATACTGAATATACAAATAATATATATGCAGTATATATATATATGTACTGTATATACAAATTATAAGTACTGTACAGTATACCATGGGTAGATTGTTTTACAGATTTTGGTGAATAATTGGTACAATCTTGTAATACCACAAACACCAGCTTTTCATGTGAATGTAGCGAGTAAGATTTATAGAGGCATTAATTCAAGTGATAGTGAATTACCAGGCAACAACTGTTAATTCAAATTTTTATTTTTTTTTGCATTATCATGTTGTAAGTAATATCCATCCAAGTGCCTAGAAAAACTTTCCCAAATCATGTAAAGTTCCCCTGTGCTCTCTGGCAGAATTAAATGGCACCACATGTGGTAATGCCAAAATCTGGCTATACTGTACTGTAATACTTCCTTCAAACACTCACATATCATGCCTATTTCTATCACTTTTTAGATGATAATGTAGAAAACATATGACAAAAGTTATTAAGGCATGTTATTTTGCAAAGGTTAAGGTATTGTTATTGCTCAATAATGCTCTGGATACATCCTTATGCAAATTCAGTACCCTAAAGTCTTTCAAATTATGTATCACCACATCCTTGATCAAGCCCATAAATCATGGGGTCCATGCAGCTAACAGGCTGTGTACTAAAGTACATCATGTTAAACAATGTTTGGCAAGTTCTCCCTTCTGATGATCGAAAACTAATGGATAATAGGAGACAAAACAGGTTACAATATGAAAAACTGCTCTATGAAGGAAACCATCTCAAATTGGCCCAAAGATTGCATCAAGTGAGATGAAAGTAATTACTCAAAAATAACAAATTAATTTTTTTTTTAACAATTCCTAGTCACTTAGACGATTACTATGAATGGGGGATTTGCCGATATGTTTCGAGAGGCTGTCAAGCAGGTAGAAGAGCATGATAAAGAAAAATAACGGAAGATGCCAAGGACCTACATTATGGTACATTAACTCAAGAAATTGTCCTGTATTCCTGGCAATCTTGTGTAGAGAAGAAGCTGAAAAATACAAGTGGCTTAGAACAAAGTATTGTTACCTAGTTACAGTTGCTGTTCAACTAATTAGTTTTGTTTTAATTCCTCACCTGTTAGCATAAAACTGTTGAATTGCATTCATACTGGACCCAGTGGTGCTGCAAGAGTACTGTGGATACTGTGAGAAAGCAACACAATGCTCAACACCATCCCTGTGGAGTATACAAAATTTAGTTCACAATTTTGAATGGCTTTATAAAAAGACTATGAAACGTGTACAACACCACATACATCTTTAATGAGTGCATCAATGTATGTTTGCACTTTCTTTCCCCTACAGTGTGTACAAGTTCTTCAACTACTGAAATTACCATAACTTTAACAACCTTGTAACAGTAACTTCTGCTATAGTCTTTACTTCTTTCCTAAAACAAGGCTCTGCAGCTCTCTCCAGGATTATGACAACTCCCCATGCTCAAAATAACCTCAATGTTGATAAAAAAATATCAATGTTGACTAATTTTTACATCATTTGTTCAGCTTTGCTTTAGGGGGGGGATACGCAGCTACAGTTCTTACCAACAGAAATACAGTTGGATGCAACTCTCACCAAAACTCATTAACAACCAACACCCACAAAAATTATGTTCACCATTACAAAGTGAAAGGCAAATTTTGTTTACATATAATCTATAAAACCTGCATACTCTTCTGTAATTACTTAAATCTTACAAAATTAATACAATTAAATTCTTTGGTTAAACTGAATATGTGCACTGAGAACCTCATCACTAGGGAATATTGAGAGTAAACAGTGTTTCTACCTAACCAAATTCTTCTAGATTATTTTGTAGTACAGTACTGTACAGGGTGTATAAATATTCTACTGTATTATGCAGCTCATTATACTGAATTGTACATACTTTTCCATCTGTTCTAATGTATCTTCAGTGAGTGGACAAGCGTAACGAAAGCCAATGTAATGCTTATGAGGGGCAGAATTTGGCAACAATGTGTCTAGACGTTCACACAGCCGATGTCCCTAAAGACGGAAGGCACATTTAATAAAGAAAAACCATTCATTGAAAGTGGTGAATTCATAACAAAAAACCAAGAGATATATATTATTGCAAGAAATTGTAGTTTTTAATAGTTATTTTCAATCTAAAACATTTCGGTTATCTTTACGCTTTACATAATAATACAGAACCTATTTTAAAAATTAGCAAATAATACTAATTTGTTGAAAATATTCCTTATTCTCATTTTAAAATCAGCAACATACAGGGTCTTTCTAAAACATCTAAAAATAAAACATTGTAATTCACACTCTAATGCTTACCTGAATATCTGTCCATTTAAATATTGGAGACCCACCACCAATTTCCTCATATTTCTTTTGGATGCTTGGTGTTCTACGCTTGGCAATCCACGGTCCCATGTAACTGATAACAAATATAATGTTAAATCATCATTACAAAACTAGCTGCCTTGACTTTATTTAAAACAAAGTGAATGTAATGATGAGGAAGCACTGATTAATTTTGTCAGGATAAAGACAGCCTTTTTTATGTATATGTTAGGCTAGTATCAAGGTACTCCAAGAACAAACCACTGACCCTCCCCCCCCCCCAGGATGCAACTGCACAACAGTTGACCTACTTCCTGGTACCTATTTACTGCTAGGTGAATAGAGGTATTAGACAACAGCAAATGTGCCCAACCATTTCTGCCCTGCCCAGGATTTCCAACTGTGAGTCAAGAATGAACCCACCTGTACTACCGAGACCCTTAAGCCATTAGGACCCTATAGCACTTGAAGGGGGGGGGGGGGAGACAACAGAAAGCTGGGATATGAAGTTGTGGTGAAGGAATGGTGCTAAGCACCTTGCACTATCAAGATTGAATTCTGGCCCTGCAGGAAGTGAAGCCATTGCTCTACCGACCAGTCCAAGCAGATAGATACCTAAAACAAAGTACAGTACAGTATTCCTTACTGAAGCATCTGCACGTGACATGTAAGAAAAAAAAAAGGGGGGGGGGGAACAAGACATCTTAACCATATGAAAAACTACCTTAAAATGTCCATTTCTCAAATATATTCTATATTAGGTTACAACTTGTAAATGTATATGGAGAAACTACAATACGAGAACACTGATCAAACAGGTATAGCATTTGTCTACCCTAGTAGTATATACTGTACATGTACTGTACTATACTTTAATAACAATTACAATTACTGTACCTGTACTGTATAAATACAAAGAGAAACATTAAAACTAATAAAATTTTATGTTTATACCAAGTCATAATTACAGAACTGTATTACGTAATAATTATTAAAAGTACAAACAAATTAATTATAAGTAAAAAGTCATTAAGTTTTGTCCAAAACACTTTGCATAATAGTGGCTTCATTAGTATAATTCCTGTCCCTACAATTGTACATTATTCTTGTGTTCTGTGTACACACATTCTTTTGAATAAAAAATTTATTATTATTATAAATCAAAATGTAGTGCAGTTGTACTGTATTCGGATAGAAAACAAAACTTACAATTTTCATTCTTAACTGACTGATTTATCTTCAACTAGGTAAACTTCATTCAGAATTTCAGATGAAATTTGGGCTGGGTAATAATAAAATCCATACCCATCCAGAACAAAAAATATAGTCCGGAGCCTTCGTGTTCAATCTCATCAAAATCAATCTTTGGGGCCTCAGAGGGATTCACTGACAGACTTACAAGTACTAAATTAGTTAATCAAGTACAGATCCTACTAGTTTTACACATCAAGGTATGTACAGTAATATATAATACAAACAAAAAACAGCAGTTTATATTCTTACTCTTGGAATGGAAGCTGAATTATATCACGATCTTTAAAAAGTCGTAGTAGAAAGTCATGAACATCATCTAAGGTCCTTGGGCCACCCATGTTGAGCATAAGTATACCAGTCTTAGGTGACTTTGAAGTGCCAAAATTCCTACAAACATTTGAAGTCCTGAAGTCCAAAGAATTTGAGGATGTGGCCAGCCAACATAAACTTGATCGTAATGGAACATCTGAAAAACAAACACAATATTACAGTACAAGTATAAATGGCTGCAGTACTAAACTGGAAATCTAACACAGTTGATTTAATACTATATTAGAAACAGTCTTTATCATTAATGTAAAAGCAATCCAAGACAATCTGGTCTTGGATTGATAAATCAATAAATAAAAGCAATCTGGTGATACCCCAAGAGAAATTCAGTGCTGCAAGAGGGTAAAATTGAATTTTTGCAGGCCTGAAGTTTGTCCATTCACTATGCACATGCACAGGGCATGTGCATAGTAAGTATAGGCTGACAGGGTAAACTGACATTATTGCAGCATTCAAGGCAAATACCCTAATTATAATACAGTGGATCCCTGTTGCAATATAAACGTATATAATACACAAGTATAAACTCAATAAAATACATAACAGTATATATTACATAAAGGAAGATCCAAAGTCATTCTATACCTATATACAAAGTAAAACCAAAACCAAGGACCCTTAGAAGATTGTTTTTTTTTTTTTGAGATATATACAAGAGTTGTTACATTCTTGTACAGCCACTAGTACGCGTAGCGTTTCGGGCAAGTCCTTAATCCTATGGTCCCTGGAATACGATCCCTGCCGCGAAGAATCGTTTTTTCATCCAAGTACACATTTTACTGTTGCGTTAAACAGAGGCTACAGTTAAGGAATTGCGCCCAGTAAATCCTCCCCGGCCAGGATACGAACCCATGACATAGCACTCGCGGAACGCCAGGCGAGTGTCTTACCACTACACCACGAAGACTGTATTACGATTAGACGATGAGACTATCCAAGTTATATTGGATGATAAAAGGGGGGGCAGCAAACACACTGAATGAATACTTTACATCAGTGTTCACACTAGAAAGACTGAATGACATCCCATTACCCACACAAATGTTTGAAAGTGGTGAAAATCCAAGTCTAGTGCCCTTGAGGAGATACCAACTTTAATTTACAAAAAAGCCTCCAGATCTTTAGCCCCTGCTATTGCATTGCTCTTCAACAAGTCACTTGAACTCCAAACCTTTCCAGATATTCTAAAAAAAGCGAGAGTAATGCCTGTCCACAAATGTGGTGATCTCACAGATGTTAACAACTACAGACCTATATCAATCCTGCCAAACTTGTGAAAAGTTTTTGAAAAACTAATCTACAAGCAGCTTTACTCTTATCTAGCCAAACAATATACTTAGCCCTTGCCAATATGGCTTCAGACCCAAAAAAAGCACTAACGATGCACTTATTAGTATGCTTAACTTGATTCATACAGCTCTTGATAAAAATGAGTTCCCTGTTGGGTTATTTGTGGACCTGCATAAGGCTTTTGACACGGTCAACCACCAAAACCTTCTTCTTAAATTACATCATTATGGAGTCAGAGGACACTCCCTGCAATACCTCAAATCCTACCTTACTGACAGGCTCCAGTATGTTTCTGTGAATAATTCAATTTCTCCCACCCTACCCATCAACATTGGTGTTCCTCAGGGCAGCATACTTGGCCCTCTCCTCTTTCTCATCTACATTAATGACCTTCCAAATGCCTCCCAACACTTCAAACCAATTCTATTTGCTGACGACACAACCTTCATTTACTCCAGTCCTGACCCCCTTGCTCTAAATGCCACAGTAAATACTGAGCTAAATAAAGTCCATCTTTGGCTAACTGCCAACAAACTCACCCTTAACATTGACAAAACTTTCTATATTCTGTTTGGCAATAAATCCTCTAATCAAATAAATCTCAAAATAAACAATACCCAAATTTGTAACAAATTAGATGGCAAATTCCTTGGCATTCTCATTGACCACAAGCTGAATTTCCAGGGACACATTCTAAATATATCAAAAAAAAGTTTCAAAAACTGTTGGCATTCTTTCTAAGATCAGATATTATGTACCCCGCCCTGCCCTGGTGACTGTTACTCCCTCATCTATCCATATCTCAACTATGGTATTTGTGCTTGGGGTTCTACTACCCAAAATCATTTACGTCCTCTAATTACTCAACACAAAGCTGCTATTAGGACAATATCCAACTCTGGCCCCAGACATCACTCGGTACCCCTACTCAAATCTCTGAATATGTTAGACATTAAGTCACTGCACATTCTCTCATGTGTATTATACATATATAAAATGCTAAACTGTAATGCCAATCCTTACCTCAAAAGCTTCATAGAAGGTTGTAACAGAGCCCATGAGCACCACACCAGAAATAAATACAGTTTTGATATTCCTAGAGTACAACTTAATCAAACTAGAAATGCTCTACAAATCAAGGGACCCAGATTGTGGAATGACCTTCCCAACCATGTTAAAGACTGTACCTCTCTCAACAAGTTTAAGATAAAAACGAAGTTATACCTAATAAATTCCCTGTAACCTACCTTACCCCTCTATTGTCAACCAATGTCTGTTTTTTTAAAGAGCGCTGTTTGTCGACAGAATTGTATTTGTGCTGCTTTTTCAGCTATGTTTTCATTTTATTCTTTATGCTCAATTAGTATTAAGCTTTAGTCATTTAAGTTTTTCATGCCCGAAACGCTTTGCGTAATAGTGGCTTTAGGCATTGTATGTACTAGCCCTATCTATAAATCCATCACTCTTTGTAAAATCTCTTGTATGTATGTACCTTACCTAAATAAACATTTGATTTGATTTGATTTGAAAATAATGAATTAACTCATAACATGCAACACAAACAGGAAGAGCATTAACAAACTAAAAAGACTGAAAGGCCCCAGGTGTCGATGGAATTCAACCCAAAGTCGTAAAGGTCCAAAATCCAAAGATTTTATCAAAACCAAAATAGGAAATATAATCCAAAATTTTCCCACAGGAGCGGAGCAGATGTCACCCTCCAGCTGCTGTATATATATGACCTTCCAGCTCACCTCGCCTCTCAGTTATACCCTGTAACATGAAGGGAACCCCATTACATAATAATTACTCAAATTAATAACTTACAGCGTGTGAAGAGAGCTGACATACGAGGCAGGAGAGTCGACATGCTTCAGGTCGCCGCCCACAGGAGCAAAGACTAACCGGACCCGACAATTACCACCCGAAGTCTCCTCGTATTAAGTACTGAAAAAGACGGTATATTTGCCCTCAGTATTGTTGGTGCTGAATGTAGAACGTGAAAAAAATACATATTTACTCATAAATAATAATTTTATAACGAATTTAGACTAAAATTGGAAGTTAAACGATTTATTGTTGTTGTGGCAGTGTTGTGGAGCGACTTGTCCTAGATAAATTGTTCCCTGGAGTGTGTTTGCTGGCATATCAGCTTCTTGTATACTGTGATCCCGATAACTGGGCAATCACAGTTTTTTCTACACTGTGTAATCATTCATACAGAATAGGGTAGCAGCACATTGCTGTGTATACCTAAGCTTGTTAATAAAAGCAAAAACTGTGATCCAGTCGTCGCACGTCTCTGCTCAAATTATCGCAAATTTAAATAGTGCTATTAAGTAGAGTGCGTATTTATAATACTTTCTAGCATAAATAACCACGAAACATTTACGATTTATTTAAAAATACTTGTCTGGAAGTTAAATCATCACCATAGGACAATACTGTAGTTTTGTTATATAGATACTAATCGTTGTTCGTTGGTATGCGTTCGCTACTTAAACTACACATATCTTCTCTCATAGAACACGGAACCCTACACGCTCTCACTCTGATATATTGCTTTATTAATACAGATTCACAGTTAATGCTTATATTTGTAAATGCTATCAGAAAGGCTGAGAAAAAAATGGTTTGTGTGAATCCATCACAGAGATTATACCTTATTAGAGAGGACAGATATTGATACTGAAATGTAAAGTTTCTGCCCGAAACGCTTTGCGTAATAGTGGCTTTAGGCATTGTATGTACTAGCTCTATCTATAAATCCATCAACGTTTTGAATCTCACCTTGTATGTATGTACTTTACCTGAATAAATATTTGATTTGATTTGATTTGATATTCATATATCAATTACCTTCCCGAAACGCTGCGCGTACTAGTGGCTTTACAAGAATGTAATTACTATGCTGTGTATCCTCACAATTCCAATGTACCTTCTTGTATATATATATAAATAAATAAATAAATGAGGCAGGAGTCATATATAAAGCTGCAATATAACATTCAATTATATTTTAAAGACGGTTTCTTGGTCAACGCTCTCCATGTCGATTACGACCTTTCGAGGATCAATGTTAATTTTATCTAGATACTGTAATAAACGAATTTTCGATGTCATCAGAAAGATAGAAATACAAGTTACATTTTAAATACTTTGGCATAAACATAACTGAAATGAAAGTGAAGATATATGCCTGTTTATAGTTACTCGAATGTTAGCTCATTGCGTGTGAAGCCCTGCACCAATTGTGTAATTATTTTGCATATATGCTAAATAACCTTAAAGGTGTATATGTCAGACGAGATTCAGGTGTAGACGTTAATGTGACTGCAGGTTAATAGGTTCTCTGCACCTATTCGCAGTTTGAAATTCCGACTTTTTATACCAAAAATATGCCAATTACTGAAAGCGGCGGTGGGTCACATTTTGCCCAAACCCCCCTGCAGTTTTAAAAATATCCCAAACATCCCAAATTCGATACCTGAGTCATATTTTGGACCCAAATTCTGGTTCTCTGCACCTATTCGCAGTTTAAAATTCCGACTTTTTATACCAAAAATATGCCAATTACTGAAAGCGACGGTGGGTCACATTTTGCACAAACCCCCCTGCAGTTTTCAAAATATCCCAAACATCCCAAATTCGATACCTGAGCCATATTTTGGACCCAAATTCTGGGTCTCTGCACCTATTCGCAGTTTGAAATTCCGACTTTTTATATAAAAAATATGCCAATTACTGAAAGCGGTGGTGGGTCACATTTTGCCCAAACCCCCCTGCAGTTTTCAAAATATCCCAAACATCCCAAATTCGATACCTGAGCCATATTTTGGACCCAAATTCTGGCTCTCTGCACCTATTCGCAGTTTGAAATTCCGACTTTATATACCAAAAATATGCCAATTACTGAAAGCGGCGGTGGGTCACATTTTGCACAAACCCCCCTGCAGTTTTCAAAATATCCCAAACATCTCAAATTTGATACCTGAGCCATATTTTGGACCCAAATTCTGGCTCTCTGCACATATTTGTAGTTTGAAATTACGACTTTTTATACCGAAAATTATACGAAAAACATCTCTAGTAACAGTATTTACTAGGGGGGGAGGGAATTTTTTGCCGATTACTAAATATTTAAAGAAACTAATTTTGTGGTCCAAAAATTTTACATTATTGTAAGCTTCATATGAATATACAAACACAAAATATTTTACCGATCACATTACAATCTGTGATATCAGTTGATAACGTCTGCAATAACGTTGTTATGAATGACTTTCACATTATACACGTGTCATCATTAACAATGTCCCCTTAAATAAATAAATCAGCGCAAATGATTGATAAGTGATTCTATTGAGGACACACACTAAAGTTACGCAGCTTCAAAATTATCACCAACCAATTCCTGCTACGCATCATGGTCCTATATTCACCCTTGCACACTAATCTGTGAAGATCAGCAGACTATGTGAGCTAGTTGGCGATTTCAAAGTGGTACGATAAAGTTTTAAACGTATGCTAGCATTCAAAGGTTCAGGACATATTCCTGTTTAAAAACAACCACTATACCTCAACGGACCATGCCAAAGCCACATTTTTATACATCCTAATCTGGTAAACCCCTGATGTGCAAGGTAAACTAAAATATTCATAATTACAATAAATTAGTATGTCACATATGCACTTATTAGTAAGCCAATATTGACTATAAGCAAGTGCGAGAACGGGTTGCAACCTGATGTGATATCTTCTCTAACGGCAGGTATCTTCCCGCCCTTTTTACGGGGGGGGGGGGGGAATTGTTACTATGGAATTGTTGACTAACAATCTTTTATCTCACCATAAGTTTTCGCCTCGCATAATTTTTTTCTCACTTGGAAAATACATCACCATCTTCACTAAAAAGTACTACATTACCGTCTCATTCCTGCCCACATACACCTCAAAATAAAATGAATACAAATCTCTGTCAAGGCATAAAGACAGCCTAGGCCAGAACCGCCTCCTCCCAAATCCACAAACCCACCAACATCTCTCCAACTTCATGGGGAACTTCAAGCTTCCCGTGACCCTGGAGTCATTGGTGATGAGTTTGTTGATTACCTGACCTAGCAGTTTATGCCTCTAGGAGAGGGGGGATTTCTCCCCTGGCATATGCATTAATGATACCTAATGCATATGCCAGCCAGTCCAAGCCTAATCTTCAGATGATTCTTCTATCTCTCACTCAATATATTCTTTACCCACTCTTTACTGTAAGTCATCACTTTCCATCATTTTCTTTGGATTGGACATTTAAGGATTGTCTGACGCCAATCCTTAAATGTTCCCCCTTGATCACCTAGCAGCAATTGGAGATTCAATTGTAAACCGATTGTTGAGTCGTGTTCCGAGAATAGACTAGTAGAACATAAGTCATGAAACTGCAGGTGGCCTATTGGCCCGTAGATGGCAGCTCCTATTGACATCCACCCACACTCATTCATATACGTCTAACCTAAGCTTGAAACAATCAAAAGATTCCTACGCCTATTATGTTACCAATTAATTTGTTCCACAAATCCACAACCATGTTACCAAACCAGTATTTACCCGAGGTCTTTCCTAAATCAAAACATCCAACTTATATCCACTTTCTTGTTCTGTGTTGATATATATAATGCCTTATTAATATCTGCCTTGTTTTGCCCATTCATCCACTTCTACACTTCAATCATGCTAACTCTTGTTACGATATATCGTATCGTGTTATTTCATCGCATAAAGGCACGATTATTTAAGTCATACGTTCATTATTACAGGAAGAACGAGGTTAACAACCATGGAGGTCGTTAACTGTCAGCACGGTATGGCTCGTCCGGTGGCGGGAATTTCTGTTAGCCAATCAGAACCACCGGGCGAGGTAACGTGTGCTGGCCGGAGCATGTGGAGAGACAGACATCTACTCCCCTCCATTGAGTCAACAGGCTGTCGTCGCGTTTGGATGTGTGACCAACGGACCCAACTGTTATTGTGCTCCGCCCTCATGAAGGAAGAGGACCTCGAGGCATGGTCGACGTTCTTGAAAGTTATGGAAGATAACAGCTTTGAGATTTAGAGGTCGGCGTGGAGGTAACGCGCGCTGATTTTCCTGATAGCGGAACAAATTGCAGGAAAGTAGATGATTTATAAATGGGAAGATCAATCGGACAAGAGACGACCGTAGCATGGCCGTAGTATCTCTATATATAATATATATATATATAAACTGTACTTGTGTACAATGCACACATCTATATTTATACATGTAAAATATTGTATATAAGGTGATATCACAATATATCCATGAAGTTTTATACCATCTTATTTTCTTGTCCTTTGTCAGACCTCGGCACAGTGTGTCGCACCTGACAACAGGTCCGGCTGAGGCTGACACCTGTTCAGATTCATGTACCTCGTTGTAGTACAACGAAGCATTAGGATAAGCATTCAGAATAAACCTAAATTAAATGTTGGGTTGTCAACAGTTCGATCCCAACACACTTCACCTTTTTGAAGAATGTAAATTAAGCTTTTTCAATCTCATCATATGGAGGCTTCCTATTTTGCAGGACTAACTTTGTCATCCTACGCTGAACGCGTTCTAGCGAATTTATATTCATTCTATAGCAAGGCGACCAAAACTGAACTGCATATTCTAAATGGGACCTACAAAAAAATTACGATATTACTGAAGAGTAACACTAGCTAAGTTATTGCTAACACTAATAACACTAGCTGAGTTATTGCTAACACTAATTGTTATTAATAAATTTATGGGAATGAAAAGCTCTCGGCCGGCTAACACGAGTGTGAAGTTGTCTCCCACCAAACACACACCGAAACTACGACGTTGCTACAAAGTTCGAACAAATTTTAACACCTAACCAGTTATAACAACCAATATAGCAAGTTGTAACAACTTTCTAATACGTCATAAACAAGTTAAGCAAAGATATAACAACTTTATTACACGTTTTTTAACAAGCGGAAAATAGACAGTTACGATTTGTTTCCAGGGAGCTACGCCTGTCTAGCTCCACCCTTCCCTACCCAGAACTAGTTCAATAAACACTTTACCTCCACTCCTCTGTCGAGGTAAACAGAGATCCAACGATCCAGAGATCCGACTCTGATCCGACGCCTTGACCACACTTGTAACGCACCTGTAAAACATATTTTTTACATAAAGAACAAGTATAAAAAGTGTTTCAAACACAATCGAGTAACAAAATACAATTATGACTTTCAAGAACAATGGGCTCAATCACTGGAAAAGGTGAAAGTGCAATGAAGATTAATTACAGATTGTATCAACTGTAGGGAGTAGGCAAGACTGATAAGATTGCAATAGCTTAATAGAAGACCTTTTAGTCTTGGATCCTTGAGGCTATGGTTAAGCATAAATGTTCTTTTAAAGTTACATGGCAAATATACATTATTTGTTACATTATCTGGCAAATATACATTAGGAAATAAAAAATGGGTTTCAGTCCTTCCTATAGCACTGTTAAGTGGTGTAAAATATGACAGTATGTAGGTTCCTGGGAGGTTAAATGTGTGTTGTACACAGTTATTGTATATATTATTATATATATATATTGTTTACTGTTGTCGGGATGCATCATAAGGCATTGTATACAGAACGGAACATTACGACTATATAACAATTGGAAGAGATCAGGATAAGGATTTGGGATTGGACGGGGGGAAAGGAGTGGTACCCAAGCACTTGAACAGTCGGGGATTGAACCTGCATGCAGTGAGACCGTCGCTCTACCGTCCAACCCAAGTAGCTGGATGAGAGCGAGAGAGCAAAAATGAGACCGAGAGTGAAAGCGAGAGCGAGTGAGTGAAAATGAGTGTGTGAAAATGAGAAAAAGTGAAAGGAAGAGAGAGAACTACACGGTCCAAAATTAAGAAATATGTCAGTACAGACGATTATTGGTGGGTCCCTTGACACGGACCAAATTAAGAGAAATGGTAGTGTTGGTAGGCGTGTTGTGGGGTGTGGGGGTGGGGGGGGGGGGTAGTAAATAGTCGACAATGTGGGAGAGAAGTGGAGTGAGGTGGGAGGTAGGAAAGGAATGGTGATAACAAGTGTCTAAGCATGGAACGGGCAGAGGACAATCCACTCTTGTCTAATCAATTACAGCAAAACAGAGTTTAGACAGCATACGAAGGCATGTTTTCATGTCTGTTATTTATTAAGACAGTATATTAAACAGGAGATGAGAAGCATTTGGTCAAGGTCTATTAAAAACATAACAAAAGAGGCTTAGTTAACACCTCACTATTAGTCTTTAAAAAAAAGTCCCTTACACAAGCCAACTAAGTTTTTATATATATTTTTAAATTTAGAAACACAACGTCTTTTGTTGGGGGCGCTTTTAAATATACACGCATCTGGCCGTCCTTAAACGCGAGGCTATTTAGGAAATGACGAAGTTCCTTGCTAACTTTGCCACCACAAGGCGGTAAAAAGAATAGGCTTCCATTTGTAGATGTGAGTTTTGAGTCTTTATTACCTTGCACTTCCTCTCTGTCAGCCTGTCTGTCTGTCTGTCTCCCGTATCACCATTATCATAACTATCACCATTAGTAGGCCTATATTAGGAGGTTAATTTTGTGACCTAAAATTTTTAATAGTTTATTTTAATTCTGAACTAAGTTCAGGAATTTCTTAAGACCCTCTCATTCATGACATTGGGGGGTCACAGTCTGGGGTCACAATCTGGGGTCATGGGTAACCTTCCCTACACCCATTCACTCTAGTGAAGGGCACATATAGGCCTATAGCAAGTAGGCCAATTATTACAGACTTATGCAGCCTAGCCATGCAAGCCTCATGGAATTCACACTTACATATTCTGTTATATATATGTATGTATATATATATATATGTGTATATATATATATATATATATATATATATATATATATTTCTGTAATGAATCTGAGCAAGGGAGAAAAGCCATAGGAGAATTGTGCCCAAAAACAAATACAAAATTTCATTCCTTCAGCTTTTCATCCAATCAGACGTGTATCAACAAATATTTGACGACATATTGCAACAGCGATTGACTCCGCCGTGGGAAAATTGAGTGCGTCAGGAGCAATATATATATCGTTGGTTTTATGCTGCAGCGATCTGATACAACGGGTAACTTTTGTCTCTCATTCCCTGGATAGTACGTGGCGCGTGAAGGCTCTCTACAGCACGTAAGGCTACACTGACTACAGCACGTGTGTATACACTGATTACAGCACGTAAAGCCAGGCTACACTGACTACAGCAGGTACAGCCAGCACTGTATGATACAGGTACAGCCAGCACTCCAATACAAGAGACCTGTATGCACCTCCTGGCTGGCTAGTGATACAAAGTTTAGCATAAAACCACCTTTTCAACTCCTCTATTAAAACAGAAATATATATAAATAACGACAGGACCGTAAAATTATAGTTTGGGTAATGACCTCGTTGGCTTGATCTTTCCAGCCCACAGCGAGGGTCTAAAATCCCTCGGGGAAAGCTTGAAAGTGTGTGTGTGTGTGTGTGTGTGTGTGTGTGTGTGTGTGTGTGTGTGTGTGTGCGTGTACTCACCTAATTGTGCTTACGGGGGTTGAGCTTTGTCTCTCACACATACACACACACAATGTATGTGTGTGTGTGTGTGTGTGCGTGCATGATCGAGCTGTTAGCTCTTCGACCCCGCCTTTCTAGTCGTCGGCTGTCAAATGTACTGACCCCGATCTATTTATTTCCTCTATCATATCTACTATTTATGTCTCTCTCACACACACACACACACACACACACACATCCCTAAGGTGCAGTCCATAGCAGCTGTCTAACTACCAGGTACTTCTTTACTGCTAGGTGAACAGAGGCATCAGGTGAAAGAAACTCTGCCCGTTTGTTTCTGTACCGACCGGGAATCGAACCCGGGACCTTAGGACTACGACCCCCCCCTCAGAGCGCTGTCCACTCGCTAGTAAAGTGACAGGAACTGCAGAACTGAGAAATGTTCCATTAGCCTCTGATGGGTGGCTTTAGTGTGCCACTGTATGGGACAGGAAGCCTGCTGAATCAGAACAACGACTGACACTCCCTGGCATGCAACCCACAACAGTCGCCTGACTCACAAGTACGTACGTTGTGGTATATGGGGTCCCAGCACAGAACTGTGTGACAACCTACTGATGTAATAGATAACAAAACCCATCCCATGTAAGGATGTAATAGATGGCATTCTTCACATCAAGGGGAAGCCAAACCCCCCCCATTTACACCCCTTCGAACCCTCACGTGGCAAATTGGCTTCTCCAACCACACCCATAAAAATGATTAGGAAGCTTTTGGACGCCATTTCTTTGATGGAGGCAGGAACGAGACTCCGCCCTCTTCTCAAAAATCCTTTTTTGAGGGGATTCCTTCTTAAAAGATCCTCTTTTATAACCTTTTTGCCTGTTAATAGAATTTTCACGAATGTTTACTTTCATTAAAATCTGTATAGGCACGAAGAGGAAGAGGAGGGGACACATTTTAAAGAAAGAGGATAGTTCAGAAATTTTCCAGGAAAAATATATAGAAAACGAAGGACGAAGAGGAGGGGATACTTTTATTATTATTGCTTATGCACACGAAGACGCCCGTAATGTCATTTGGGCTTTGAGAGTGTGCTTTCCACACACACACACACACACACACACACACTGGCAGCATTAAATTAATTGGTCAGGGTCGCTCGAGCAGACAGAAGGGAGCAAGGAGCACTGTGAACGTACCCGAAGCCTCACTATACGACCTCACAACATAGCGACGATGGTAACAGCGCTGTACGTCTAAGCAGAGTGAACATGTTGATATGTCCAAATCGCTACTTGGACTCTTAAGCAATCCCGTCATCTACAATTGCTTTAAAACTTCGAAACCCCAGATAACAACATCCTCGAGTTTCACCCCAAAGACAGACACAATGAATCTATTAAAGAAGAAGGTTGAGGTAGTTTGATAAGGTTTCCAATCCCTTTATTGGTTTCCAAATATATTAATCCCACTGTAGGAACATTACACTACACAACACAGTAGTGTAAACAGCAGAAGTTCAGTTTAACTTCTGGTTTCAACTCTTTTTGACCATGTCGTAGCTCAGTTGATTAAGGCAGCATCTGGGGTGATCTCGGACGTAGGTTCGAATCCTTGTCACGGCCCTTGTGGATTTGCCCACTGTAGGAAGCCTGTAATTAGACTTACTGAGGCAGTTACTATAGTCCGTCCTTCTAAGGTTTCCCAATGTCAAGAAAACGACCAATTTAAAGTGTCCTCTCCTAACCTAGCAGAGGACCCAAAACAGAAAACGGGGACTGTACGTTATTTTCAAGAGCCACTTCCATTTTCTAGTACGACAATTTTTGGCTTTATGTAACGCCTACGAGCGAAATGCGACGTTCTATGTAAGAGAACAGGTTGGTTACTGACCTTCCCCAGGATGCAACCCACAACAGTCGCCTAACTCTCGGGTACCTATTGAAATGCTAGGTGAACAGAGGCATCAAGAGAAGGGAAACGCCCCCTCTCGGTTGTGAGCCGAGGACGCAGACTATTGTGCTACAGGGCATTGTGTGTATTACTGGTTTTATTATAAGACGTCAGATATCAAAAACACGAAACAACTTTTCCACTTCATAAATCTGTGACAGAGGTGATATCCTGAAAAAAAAGATTGCACCTAGTGTGGCCCAGGAGCTGAAGTTCGCCAGGTGAGTACATAAAGGCGAGTGCACAATGTTACACACACACACACACACACACACACACACACACACACATACACACTTAATACTATTAGAATAAAAAAGGACATTTAATATATGTAGCTAAACCTAACCTTTCCAAGGCGTAATGAACACAATCCTAAACCTAAAATGCACAATCCAAGGTTCTATATATATATATATATATATATATATATATATATATATATATATATATATATATATATATATATATATATATATACATCTTTTCAGCCAAACATACCAAAGTGGTTTTGAAAGCAGTCCAAGAACCATTGCTTCAAATTGAGTGAAGCTTTGAAGGGACGGTATTGTGTTTTTATGAGCGTTTGTAAATAAAGTTTTCATTAGGACCCGCGGTGAAT